AAAAAAAAAAAAATCCTAATTTTAAGTTACCTCAATTTGTCATCCTCAGTTTTTTTCTAATAACTCTTTAGGACAAGAAAGAATTCTGGATCAATTATGTGGCCTTGGGAAAGTTACTCAATATTTCTGCCTCAGTTTCCTCATCTGAGTCTGTTTTCTGAGCAATACAAGAGTGCAGAACACTTCAATTCATCCTTCATCCCTTGAGTTACTTGTTATTGTCACATATTTTAATTCTTTTCCTTAAAGATCTTTTAAAAAATACCTACAATCTGAAAACATTGAGTTGGCCAAAAAGTTTGGGTGTTTCTGTAACATCTTATAGAAACACCCAAATGAACATTTTGGCCAACTCAATACTATTATTTATGCATATGATGTTTGTTTGAATGGAATCATGGTTTCCTAATTTATCTGTTCATCATTTCTATTATACCTGACAAATTTTCCTCTGCTCTACTTTTTCTTTCTAGAATACATCCATCATACACTTCTTTAGTTAAGATCTGGTAGGTTGGTAAAGTTGTGACTTGCCTGAATATGTCTTTAATTAATTCTACTCTTTTGAAGCAGATTTTCCCAGTGCACAATTTTAGGTTGACTATCACATTCTCTCAAAAATTTGAAGAAAACATTTTTCTGTCTTCTGACTGCATTTATATACAACAGCTTTGCTCTCAGACTGACTGAAGGGACTTTTCTCTGGCTAACTTCAAGATTTTTTTCATCTCTGACATTCTGTGGTTTCACTATTCTGTGTCTATGTTTAGATTGTTTTTTTCTTTGTCCTTTCCTCTTCAAATAGTTTATGTTTCCTATCCTCTACTAAAACTATGATTATGTATATTAGACTTTCTAATTACTCCTCCTATGGCTCTCAGAATCTATTACATTTTCCAGCTTCTCATCTGAGCTTCACTCTGGATACTTTCTTCACATTCTCTGCCTTCCAGTTTACTAATTCTCCAAAATTTTAATATCCTTTTATGCCATTTAACTTATCATATTTCCCTGATTATATTTACAAAAGTCATTTAGTTTCCCTGCAATCCCTCATTTCTATCTTTTATTCTCTCGTGTTTTTCTTCAAACACCTGAGTATTTTTTTGTCACTTAAATAACTTAATATTAAAAAAAAAATATTTGGCTACACAGAGTCTCAGTTGCAGCATGTGGGATCTAGTTCTCTGACCAAGGATCAAACCTGGGCCCCCTGCATTGCGAGCATGGAATCTTAGCCACTGGACCACTAGGTACATCCCACTCAACACTTTTAGAGATCTGTACAGTTGTTTTCTTGTTTTTTCTAACTTGTGTTGTTTCCTTGTACGTTTATAGAGATCTGGTTTGTAAGTTCCAACTGGTTTGAACTTTATATGTTGAAGCTGCATGGCTGTTAACTGCTGATACTGATACTGAAGTTGAAAATCCAATACTTTGGCCACCTGATGCAAAGTACTGACTTATTTGAAAAGACCCTGATGCTGGGAAAGATTGAAGGCGGGAGGAGGAGGGGAAGACAGAAGATGAGATGGCTGGATGGCATCACTGACTCAATGGACACAGTTTGAGTAAACTCTGGGAGTTGGCGATAAACAGGGAGGCCTGGCGTGCTGCAGTCCATGGGGTCGTGAAGAGCCGGATATGACCGAGTGCCTGAACTGAACTGAAGGGGTCCTTCTGAACTAGGGTCACTTGTTGTTGTTCACTCACTCAATCCTGTCTAACTCTTTGTGACCCCAAAGACTGCAGCACGCCAGGCTTCCCTGTCCTTCACCAACTCCTGGAACTTGCTCAAACTCATGTTGACTGAGTTGGTGATGCCATCCAGTCATTTCATCCTCTGTCATCCCCTTCTTCTGCCTTCAATCCTTCCCATCATCAGGGTCTTTTCCAATGAGTCAGCTCTTTGCATCAGGTGGCCAAAGTACTGGAGTTTCAGCTTCAACATCAGTCCTTCCAATAAACATTCAAGGTTTATTTCCTTTAGGATCGACTGGATTGATCTCCTTGCTGTCCAAAGGACTCTCAACAGTCTTCTCCAACACCACAGATGAAAGCAAGAATTCTTCGGTGCTCAGCCTTCTTTATGGTCCAACTTTCACATTTAAACACAACTACTGGAAAAACCATAGCTTTGACATACGAACCTTTGTCGGCCAAATAGTGTCTGCTTTATAATACACCTAAGTGCCCCTTTAAAAGTCTCAGGTTTAATGTGGAATGCTCAGATTCAGTTCTTCCACCATGCTTTTCTGCATTTCTGAGTTCATCTGAATTTACCCTCAGTGCAATCTCTATTTAAGTATTTTCCCACACTGTCCTGTTTCTGACCCTCATGAAAGATAAATTCTAATCCTCAGGTCATGAATGATTTGTAAGATACAAAAGAGTAATAAATATTTCTAAAGAGCAGAGAGGACCAGATTAATTTCTGGAAAACCAGATTGCCTTTTGTGATTTCTTTCAGCAATTCAATGCCAATAAAATGGTATTTTGTGGAGGAAGTGTCTTTGTATGCTCACCAGTAGAGATTTAAGAAAAGTATTTGTCGCTCAGTCATGTTCAACACTTAGCGGCCCCATGGACTGTAGCCAGGGTCCTCTGTCCATGGAATCCTCCAGGCAAGAATACTGGAGTGGGTTGCCATGCCCTTCTCCAGGGGATCTTCCCAACTCAGGGATCAAACCCAGGTCTCCTGCATTGCAGGCAGATTGTTTAATAGCTGAGCTACCCAGGAAGAATAGTTTCAACAGTTACCAGTATGAACTAGGTGATCAAAGGGCAAAGTACTAAATTTTCTCTTCTAGATGGAAGAAACAACAGAAGTCCTTCCTTAAGTTGTGCTGTTTGAAATTAAGCTTATAAAAAAAATAAAAAATAAAATTAAGCTTATATTCCAAGGTCGCCTCTTAAAATATTAGTGGAATGTGAGTACTGGTTCTCTAACCCTCATAGAAACACTACCATTTCAGGACTTCTTCTTCTGGCTATAATGCAATAATTTGTAGCAAATCCATCTATTTGTTCTTTGAGAACAAACAGAAAAGCTGAATTAAAAATAAGAAAGTTATCACGGCAAGGCAACCAACTTGGAGAGATAGGTTTCCAAATAGAAGAGACCCTCAGAAGGGTGAGCCAAAATCCTGCAAAATATTCTTCCATCCAGAGCATTATTTATTGACCACTGGCAGGGAACAAAAGGCTAAGAATCTAGGCAGACTGATGCAGCTATTAGGAAGGCAAGCCAACAGAGCTTTTAGTAACGTCATAAGGCTGATGACACAAATCCTGGACTTTGGGGCTGCCATGGCAGCCAGGACTTGAATGTCTAACAGCCCAGTGGGAAGAGGGCAGCTTTCCCCTTGAGCCATTTGGTGAATTCCTGAGCTGCGATAAAGGCAGGAGATTAAGAAGCTAAGCAGGGAGCTACTGAAAAATCTCAGCAAGGCTTTCTACAATGCTGAGAGATGAAAACGTGGAATGAGAACATTCCAAGAAGGAGTTGCTGTTACTTTTTAGTCACGTCTGACTCTTCTGCAACCCCATGGACTATAGCCCACTAGGTTCCTCTACCCATGGGATTTCTCAAGCAAGAATACTGGAGTGGGCTACCACTTCCTTCTCCAGAGGATCTTCCCAACCCAGGGATAGAACCTCTGTCTCCTGCATTGGCAGGCATATTCTCTACCACTGAACCAACAAGGAAGCCTCCAGGAAAGAAAGGTCAGAGGAAATACCCCAGACACTCAATAGGAATTTAAGGATGAGGCCAGTTTGGAGATCGAATCTGACAAACTATTTCAGTTTTGAGTTATCACAGATTCTGATTAAATAAGGTCACCTTCCCTGAAATTATTCTATAGATACATTCCTACCTGAAACTTCATTGATACCTAAACTCCTTGCCAAAGCTCCTGGGTTCCATCTGGCCTCTGTCTACGGATCTGCTTTCATCTCCCTCTCTGCATTCACAGCTCTCCCTTTCTGCTTGATGGCTTTGCCAGTCATCATTTAGAATCTTAAGTTGTTGAAGCTTTCCATCCACATGTTGGATCTTATATCTCTTTAATTCTTTGAAAGTTTTCCCTCACTTTCTTATCATAGCCTTTAGCACACTACATATACACCAATAGCTTATACTCTGTATCTGTTTATACGCTCCACTTGAATGTAAGTGAGAATTCTGTGAAAGGAGAAATAGGGGCTGGCTTCATCACTGCCGTATTCCTCAAACTATTTCAGTGTCAGATAGTATCTCTGGACAGTGAACACTCCATACATATTTATTAAGTGACGCTTGAAGGAAAGAAAAAACTGATACTTAGAAGGACAGAGGGTACATTGACACCAACCTGAAAAACCCCATGCAGATCCTAGATGAGAAATCACATTAAGTTTCATTCTGTACCTGGTTTAAAAGAGAAGGAAAACCTCCCACCCATGTTACTCCTGGGTTTTTTTGGTTGCTGATATTTGAGGTTTTTCAAAGGGCTGTCAAAGGTACTGAATTGTATTTTCTCTGAATTTACATACTTCTTCTTTTTGTATTTTTATATTGGGGGTGTGTGCAGGTAAGTGACATGGAGCAAGAATTTCTTTGAAAAATTATAGTGTGTATAGTAAATGAAGCATTTCCTAGAACTTATAAATATCATACTTCTGGAAAATATTTTCTTAACAGACACTAAAAATAAAATTGAAATTTCATAAGTACTTCATTAGCTTTTATAGTAATAAGATAAAGCTTGCCTACTCAATAGTTACACTGATTTAATATTCATCCAGTAAGTTCAAGATGAGACATTTAGTGCAGCTATCTTAAAAGAATCTGCATCATCCTATACAGTGGAAATTTCAGTAACTAATTGGTTAGTGAGGGTTTTTGTTTTTAGAAGAGTCAAACCAAACACATCTGAGTGCTGCAACACTTAAAGCTTAGTTCATTCCATGATGGCACACTCAGTGAGTGTCAGCTCTTTCCTCAGTAGGTTCTTTACCTGGTCGATTTTGCTTTTTAGCCTTTACATGGTTAGAGGCAGAAACAGCGTAGGATGAAGTGAAGGATCTGCTTTTGGTGAGAGTCATCATCACTGGGTTTTTCCAAGAATCTGGATTAATAGCACTGCAAAGACAAGGTATGAAGAAAAATGAAGAAACTATCCTTTGATTATTGGGGCAGACCTTACCAGAACCCAACCATTATTTTCATAATAGACGTTCCAATCTGAGTCATGGTCCAGGTTCAGTGACAGAACCACTTGACTTCCAAGTGACAAACTAGGTTATCTGAATTCAGTCTGAGTTACAGGGTCAGAGGTCACACTCTTCAAGGATACCCGGTTAACCAAGACAAAAAGAGCTTTACTGTTCTTTCAATTACTCAGTATCCAACACCTTCTCATTCTATTTCTATAATCATGAAAATCATCCTCAAAGATATTCTAAAAACATGGCAAACTAACTTTACGATGCAGGTGAACTTACATTAGGTATGAATGACATGATGCTTTCTTATATACTTTTTAATTTATTATTCTTGGTGTAACTAAATTAAGAAATTCAAGTACTTATCATTCAAAGACAGTATTCTTGCAGTATCTTGAAGGAAAAGGTTAATAACAGGTCTTTAACCAATCATTTATTTTACTGGTGATACCCTGTAAGGAATGGAATGATGAGACAAATTCCCTTGTAGATACCTAATGGACCTGCTACTAAAAGTAGCACTGGTGCTATTTACTAGGAGAAAGGTAATGGCAGTGAGTCTTCACTCGAGGGAATGCTTTTAGCAGGATATCCTTGCTCTGTCTAGGTATTATTGTAAATAAACCTGGAATCAATTTAAATAAATCATAAATCAATCTGGAAGGTTGGGATGGAGAACACCTCAAAAAATCCATGTAACTAATGGATATAAATTTTAGAGTTCTTTAACCAAAATTTATCTGTAGGCACTGCTCAAAACCTTACATTCTGAATCTGAAACAGAATCTATTGAAATTTGAGAGAAAAAATATTTGGGAAGCCATATAGACTGTCTTGGTTTGCTCCAAAGGAAAAGTGTATAGTCTACAGCCATAACACCCTGAACACATCAGATCTTGTCTGATCTCAGAAGCTAAGCAGAGTAGGGCCTGGTTAGGACTTGGATGGGAGGAAAAGTGTCTGCTTTATGTTTTGGTTTGTGTTTTGCTAACACCGGTGTGTTTTCAAGCATTAGTAAATTTGGTAATGCACAAAATCTATAACTTGCATGTGTGTAATTGGACAATTTGATCCTTGGCCAATCTTAGATTGGCAGTGTAAGCAGGATGTACCTGGTCTCTCTGGGTGGCTTATTGTAAATAAAGCTGAAATGGATGGAATTATGGGGTTGTTAATGAGTAGAGATTGTCATGTAAGCTATATAGTTAATGAGGTATAATTTGGAGGTATTCTATAATCAAAATAGTCAAAGTTGTGGTTTTTCCAGTAGTCATGTATGGATGTGAGTGTTGGACCATAAAGAAAACTGAGCACTGAAGAATTAATGCATTTGAACTGTGGTGCTGGAGAAGACTCTTGAGAGTCCCTTGGACTGCAAGGAGATCAAACCAGTCCATCCTAAAGGAAATCAGTCCTGAATATTCATTGGAAGGACTGATGATGAAGCTGAAGCTCCAATACTTTGGCCACCTGATGCAAAGAACTGACTACTTAGAAAAGACCCTGATGCTGGGAAAGATTGAAGGCAGAAGGAGAAGGGGACGACAGAGGATGAAATGAATGGCATCACTGACTCAATGGACATGAGTTTGAGCATGCTCTGGGAGTTGGTCATGGACAGGGAAGCCTGCTGTGTTGCAGTCCATGGGGTCACAAAGAGTCAGACACAATTAAGCTATTGAACTGAACTATAACCAAAATGGCATCCTTTGTGCAAGCACCATGATGTGTGTATTGCTTACAATTCTGCATATTAAGTCCAAACCAGAACACGTGCTAAGGTGAAATGACAGGACTTTTACGGTATGCTGCACTACCAGTTTGAGACCTCTCAAAGGGGAAGATGCTGAGCATTTGCGTGGCTACTGCCTCTGTCCTTTGATTATTAGTAAATTTACTGATGGGAAAGGTCTGTTACCTGTGTTCAGTCTTATGTGACATTCTGCTACTAATTACCTCATTTCATCTCTTGTATCCTTTTCAGAGAGATTTTTCTTCGACTGTTGACCCAGGTATTTAAAAATTTCATCTTTTCTCTTTACTTTAAAAAGCATTTGAAAAGTGGAATGAGTTACAGCAATTATCAAATACAATTAAGGATAGCCTACAAGGTAATATTTGTTTCATATCCTTCTTGGAAATCTCATTCTAGGCAATTCACAAATGTCTGGAATTCTGAAACAATAATATCAAAGAAAACTTTGAATCTGAGATAGATAACTATATCAACTATTTCCTGATACCATTATTCCCTGTCAACTACTTTTGCTGGATTGATTGATGTATGAGACTTACTGTGAAGACATTGTATGTAATGTTTATGTGGCCTACCTGTCTTCTCAGCATACTGTATAACAATCAGGTTGTGACTTTTCTATGCAGGCTTTTAAAAAGAACTTAACATTAACTGAATTTATTTTTTAATACTTTAAAGAGTTATATTATTAAAATTGTATTAGTCACTCAGTTGCATCTGAGTCTCTGTGACCCCATAGATTATAGCCTGCCAGGCTCCTTTGTCCATGGAATTCTCTAGGCAAGAATACTGGAGTGGGTAGCCATTCCCTTCTCCAGGAGATCTTCCTGATCCAGGGACTGAACCCGGTTCTCCTGCATTCCAGGCAGATTTCTTTAGCATCTGAGCCACCAGGGAAGCCATCTATATTATTAAAGCTAGCTCAAAACTGTCTGCTTCTATTTTATATTTCTTTAATAAAAACATTTAAGATAGGCTGACTTTGAGAAATTTCATAAAATGCAATAATGGAGCATCTTTAATGTGTGGGAAGTTAATGAACTTCAAGATTAATAAAATCCTAGCCATATATCCTTTCTTAATATAATAAATATTAATTTCTTATGAGATATTGTCAATAAAAATGACAAATCAATATATATGTGTGTATATGTGTATGTATGTCAATATATACACATACATATACACTTTATAAATTACAGGTACTTTCAAATGTATTCCTTTGTGTGAGTCTTCAATAGTTTTCAGCTGTCTATTGGTCTTTGCCTTTGTGATTCCTATTTAGATCTTATTAATATGTAATGATTTGAATTCCAGTGAGAAAAATGGCTTAGGGGAACATTTACTTGGCCTTCCCACACTAACATAGCATGCAAAAACTATCTATGTGTTTGCTGTGGAAGACCTCACCCCTTTTCTACAAAAGTGGATTTTATCACCTTAGTTTTACTCATAAAAACTTCATCCTAGGTCCTAAAAGTCTTACCAGGTCCTAACAGTTTCTTTTACCGAGTTTACCGCCAGCTGTCATTTCCATGGCCAATGTGGAAGGCTTAGGTTATGATTCACTTCAGACTTAAAATTTCTCTCAAGCTTACTTTTTAAAAAATAAAGCACCTATTGGTATTCTTCCACTTAATTTTATTCCACTTGTCTCATCATTCCTGCTTTCCTGAAAAATTCCTTCTGGTGGGTACCAAGGCTCTGGCTACACATCTCTGAGTGGTGGGGTCAAGATTCTTCAGACTCTCAGTCCAGTGCCTTTTGACTCAGCTGGATTTAAAACCACCCAGGAGTAAATCACCCAGCTATGTACCTAAAGGAACAGAAGTTGAGGACTGTTTCTACTTTTCACTTCCTACTTGTTCTTCTTTTGATCACTGCAGTCCTCAAAGAGCCTCAATAAAAAGACAGACATGGAAAGGAAGAAATAAAAGGACTGACAGAGAAGAAGCTTCAAAGATTAAAACTCAAGTCAGTTTTGAAATCAGTCAGTTTTAGCAACAGGTCTTCTAACTGAAGAAGGTTTTAACTTTGGTTTATTAGTAGGGCTGGAGATGTTCTGAGGCCATCTTTTCACTATTTTCACCCACAACAAAGGATGAGTCAACCCAAACTAGCTGTGTTTAATGGTGGTACCATTGCTACTTACTGACATATGGTTTTCCCTTAAAGGGCTAAATTCTCTTCAGAATGAATTTTATTAATATGTTTTTATAATGGTGAAAAAGTTGTATTACTCTCAGACGTTATATCAGGACTTTTAATAGGATAGTGAAATTAAGGAAGAGTAAGTTAGTGGAAAAAGCATACCTAGGCAGGACATCTATGAGTACTTCTAGGACAAAGGGAACGAGTGGGATCGTATGCCATTCCTTTTCTATTTTGAAAATAGTTGAGAAGGAGCACTTATTTGATAAAACAGAATGACAAAATCCTTAGGAGTTAAGCTCATAAATGTTTTGGAAAGTCTCTTCCTCATGTTGATTTCAATTTCAGCCTCTAATCTCATTTAACTAAGAGAAGAGAGGAGTAGGAGAAATGAAATTTGATGAGAAGTAACAAATAATAACAAAAAGAAAGGAGACATTTAAGAAAGCTTGAATGGATTTTTGATAGAATCACCCTATGGATAGTAAATAAAGGATCATGAACTATACTATGACAGGAATCTTGGCAAGGTGCCCTGGTAACATAGACAACCTCTCTAAAGATATATACCAAGAACATAAAATTCACGTTTTTAAGCAACAAATACATAACTATAATTTCCTACTGCTTATCAGTATTTGCTGCTGTAAAAGTCAACAACAGTCAATATTTTCATGGGAAAATACTATTAGTGACCTATAATTTTGAACTTCGGGAAATGTTCATGAAACAGATTAACATTCTCCTATGGTGATGTTTCGAAGTTACACAAACATCCAGGTGATAAGACAGAGTGGAATTATGTGAATTCATGTAAAGAAAGAATCATTCATGCTTGCTTCTGATTCTATAGGTTTATTAAACCATCAATAATATTTAACATGAAAGAAACCAATTATGTTTTTAAGTAAGAAAGCAAGAAAAGTTAGCAGTCATTAAAAATTCTTAGGATTTGAAAGGTTTCCATTTCTCTGCCAATTTCAGAATGGGGCTTTATATTCAAAGCCAAGGTCAAAAGAAAATCACTTCTAGTACTGTCATCATGTAGTTCAATACAGATGTGGTCATTTTTCAGTCATCAGATCATTAATAAAACTGATGTAAATGTTTCAAAAACCTGAAATCGCATATGGTAAATGTTCTCATAATTATTATTCACATAAAGTATGCTATTTCTATGCCAAATAGAAAAGGACAGACTCAGTAGTTTCTCTGAAAGAATTTCTCTCATGATGATGTAAAAACTCTTTCTAGATCTTAGTATTATTTTTTCCTTAGCTTTGGTAATTCTGATTTTTCAACCACTTTGTAAAATTAGAATTAATATTCTAAGTAAATTATATTCTATTTATTTTTATTGAGGTATGATCAAAATATAACATGATATTTGTTTTAGGCACCTAACATAAAGATTTGATATTTGTATATACTGTGAAAGGATCACCACAATATGCTGTATGCTCAGTTGCTCAGTTGCATCTGACTCTGTGACCCCATGGAATGTAGCTCACCAGGCTCCTCTGTTCATGGGGATTCTCCAGGCAAGAATGCTGAAATGGGTTTCCATTTCCTCCTCCAGGGATCTTTCCAACCCAGGGATTGAACCCAGGTCTCCTGCATTGCAGGTGGAGTCTTCACCACCAGGGAAGCCCAAGAATACTGGAGTGGATAGCCTATCCCTTCTCCAGGGGAACGTCTCAACTCAGGAATTGAATTGGGGTCTCTGCATTGCAGGCGGATTCTTTACCAGCTGAGCTATCTGGGAAGCCCAATACATCTAGTTAATATACATCTGGTGGCTTAGATGGTAAAGAATCCACCTGCAATGCAGGAGACCTGGGTTGGGAAGATTCCCCTGGAGAAGGGAATGGCTACCTGCTCAAGTATTCTGGTCTGCAGAATGCCATGGACAGTCCATGGGGTCTCAACACACATATTTGTACATTTTTTTTCTTCTGATGAAGACTTTTAACACCTATTCTCTTAGAAACTTTCAAATATATAATACAGTATCATTAACTGTAGTCACCATGCTGTACATTCCCATAGCTTACTTATTTTATAACAACAAGTTTTGATCCCTTTCACTCATTTCGGTTACCCTTGACCTCTGTGTCTAACAACCACCAATCTGTTCACTGTCTAAATAAAGTTTAAGTTAAAAACTGTTTGAACATATTTAGTTGCTCTCAGAATGATCTACCTTTGATCTGATTTTCTGCCCTTCAAATAATGCCAGGAGAGCTGGTCTGGTGAACTGGGGGAAATCTAACAATCATTTGCAAATGTTAGGTTGGATACCTTTGATGTAAAAATCCAACACAGATCTCAGTCCAGGTAAAATCTAGTCTGTCTTTATTCTGGGTTCAACTCTACCCATCCAAATTTACAGTAGCAGACATCACTTCAAGTCACTGTCCCCATTTGTACTTAAGGCCATACAACACCATTTAAGCATAATTATCTGATATCAATCCTTATACTGCTCTGGATTTAAACCAAACACTTTTTTCATTTTCAAAGCTGGCCTCAAACCACTATATAATCTGTAGGGCCTCCCTTCCCCTGTAATTTTTTTTGCCATATATTATAAATCTTTATTAATGATCATTTTTCGTAATTAAGTAAACAATCATTTTGGATGCTACTATATTTTACTTTATATGTATAGATATATATATATATTTTTAACTTTTCATTTTGTACTGCGGTATAGCCAGTTAACAATGTTGTAATAGTTTAGGTGCACAGCAAAGGAACTCAGCCATGCATATACTCGTATCCACTCTTCCCCACACTCCCTTCCCATCCAGGCTGGCACATAACACTGAGCAGAGTTTCTTGTGCATGCAGTAGGACCCTGTGAGTTATCCATCTTAAGCACAGCAGTGTGCACCTGTCCATCTGAAACTCCCTAACTGTCCCTTCCTTCCATCCTTCCCTGCCCCCTAGAAACCATAAGTTCATTTTCTAACTCTATGAGTCTATTTCTGTTTTATTATCCCCTGTAAATTTATAATTAATTTTTGATAAGGAACTTCTCCTAGAAACCTGAACCCAATAGGAACATCACCTAACCTGGATGAAGGTGCTTCATGCACCTTGATGCTGGCACTTCGGTCCCTCCGGACCGGGGCAGGCTCCAAAGTGGGCAGACCTGTGGCAGAAGTGGTGGTGGTCCAAGTTGATGAAACTCGTCTCAGCAGACCGGGGGGCAAACTCCTCCTCAGGCGCTGGGAAAAAGGAACATTGATTTTATTACCAAGCATATTTCCTATCACTAACTTCTATGTAATATAATGAAAGAAAATGAGTTTTTAATTAGCAATGAATATATTAAACTATATTGGTTGAATATCATATCTCTAAAATTTGGGCACTCAGAAATTCAATAAGAAACTCTGGCCAAAATCAATGAATATTATAAAAATAACATTTTGGAACCTTCATTTCAATGATTATATAAAAATGGGATTATGGGAAATGAGAGTCATTTACTTTTGGGGCTAATTTTATTGTCATATTCATCCAACAGGGCTTACATACCTATAAATATTAATATATAACTTATTATGAGCTGCATTTCTATTAACTGATCTATATACCAAAGTGTTTACTGATTTAATTGATTTAATCCTTGATTTAGAAATGACGGGACCTAAGGGTAAGAGTGTAACTCACAAGATGTACCACTTCTCGTGGTTAATATGACTTAAGACACACAGGCATTTGGGTAATGTCATCAGGACGAACATCCTTTTTTTTGAAAGGAAAGTATAATTTCTACATACAACCGATAAACCTGATACAGAAGAGGCGACTGGGACAGACCAGGAGTGGGTATGAAGAGATGGGGAAAGGTTCAGCAAGAAAGTGAAGGAGAGCAAAGAGGAAGTGGGGGTGACTCACCAGACAACCGCCATTTTCCCCAGCCCCTCCCAGGGAGGAGAACGCGCCCAAGTCTCCCCAGCCTGCCCTCCACACTTTTTCTCTTCTGGTCCCAAAGGAAGAGTAGTCTGCTGGCTAGGCCTCCTCCTTAACCAGCTCAAGTTTAGACCATGACCAGGTCTTTGGGACGGAGGGCCTAAGTTCTCCAGGAACCCGAGTCCCTGGAACTGGGGGTTCCCCTCCGCGTCTGGTGCACTGTGAGGATGAGCGCCTCTTAACAGAAGACTCTGCTAGTCGACCTGTGAGTCCCTTCTTTGTCATTTCTTCTCCTACCTTAGCCTAAGTGGGATTCGTGACACCCTCAGCACTCAAGGCATGATTCCGAGTTCACCAGCATGAACAATGACCCTCCAAAGAGAGTCTTAACCCTAAAAATGAAAGGGAAGGTAATCTAATACAAATACAGCAATCGTGATGAGGTAGGAGCTCATTATTTTGTGACTGGTGACTCTGAGAAGAACAATTGTGCAAGCAGAGTTTAACAAAGAGTCTGCTCTTCCTGAAGACAGTAAAAGCTTTGGGAATTAAGTATATGGCACCTTGGGATTCAAGGAGAACTCTGATATTAAATAGTTTCCAAAATCTCTTAAAGATATATACCTTAGGAGGGAATTCAACAGGAAGAGAAAATGTCAAGCTATGTAAATATCAGGATTCTTGTCTGTAAATCTGTCACTGACTCTGTGCCTATTTTGAGACCCAAGGGAATCAGTTTCTCTTTCTACATCCATTTACTTTCATATCATGCTTAGCCCTATCTTTCTCAGAGAAGTAGATGTTCCAAGGAAACTTAAAAACACCTAATTGACAAAGTTATCTGAAGGACACAGTCCTGAGTCCAGAGACCCACAATGGCAAGAACACAGATGTTACTGACTGACCATGAGCTCCAGGGCACAGCTGCTTATTTACCAAATAAAGAACTGTGCTGGATATACCTGAGACCACTGAAATTCTGATTATCTTCCTTGTTTTTTTTTTTTTTTTGGTCCTTAACATGACTTGTTTTCAACTAACACTGAACTCTAAACTGGAGGTAGAATTCTATTCCCTACAGCTCACTTTTGTAAAACTCTCATATCTTATATGTAAAAAGAAGAAAATACATGAATCACTAAGGCCAACTTCTACTTTAAATAATCAAAAATCAAATAAATTCTTCTAAGTTAAAAACGTGTTGGGTTTGGGAAAGACCTGAAGGTACCGTGAAGGCTACCATACTAAAAAATCAAAGAGGAAAGGAATCTCACATTTTAGAAGGCAGTGAATTTTTAACAGAATCCACATAAGTGGGAGCAGTGGATTATTTCCCACTGCTATTATTTTTATCTCACAGACTAAGGCCTGATATATAGAGAAGAAAAAATCTGACACATGAATAAAAAAAGTTAATGTAAATCTTTTTGTTTACAGAAAGCTATCACGTATAAGGATGGAAGTCTTCATGTTTACTTTTTTATTACTTTGGTCACCATGATTGACAAACACTTCTTAGGGGAAAGAAGGTGAAAGCATTAGTCACCGAGTTGTGTCTAGCTCTTTGCAACCCCATGTACTTAGCCCACCAGGCTCCTCTGTCCATGGAATTTTCCAGGTAAGAATACTGGAGTGGGTTGCCATTCACTTCTCCATGGGAACTTTCTGACCCAGGGGTTGAACCCAGGTCTCCCACACTGCAGGCAGATTCTTTACCATCAGGTAAGACTTCTTGGTGGGGAGGGGCTCACTGATATGAACCCCTGGGTGGGCCTGGAGTGATAAGAAAAAGGTCTGGGAGAAACAGTTTCACCCTTTCAAGGGCATGTCATTAACACCTACCTTGGGAATAGCCAGCTTGTCTTTTTCAGAGCTTTCTTCAGAATCAGAGCAGGTGTAGTTTTCACTGAAGGACACAATGGGGTTCACCCTGGGCTTGTGAATGGCCTGGATGGTGAGTTGCGTGCTGAGGAGGTTGCTCACTGCCCTCAATGACGTGCACACGTTGGGGGGCAGAGACGGGTCTGCCAGGAGGTCAGTGATGAGGCCGTGAGCCTCTCCCATCACGGCAATATCCACAGTGATGCTGGTTCCTGAAGACTGAGACATCAAACACAGGAGATTGGCTGAGAAAGGCCTGAGGCTGGAGGCACAGCAGGGGAAACTGGGCTTTTTTGAAAAAGTGGACCAAAGCGATGATAGGCTGATAGTAAAGTAACATTCAGATCACATTACTGTTTCAAATTTTGCCCAAATTTGCCATATCTTTTTGCTATTTTTGTGTTCATAGCACATTTTTTACTGCTAGACTCTGTAGGCTTTGGAGACAAAAAGATAAACTTTTTTTTTTTAAATAAAAAGCTTCAGGAAACAAAAAAAAAGTATTCATATCAATCACTCCTTATAAAGATCTCAACATTTTAATGTACTTCATATAGTAAGTGTCCATCAATAGATGAATTGAAAAGATGTGATAAGATATATATATATATATATATACATATACACATATACTCACATATATATATATACATACATATATATAATATATATGGTTGGCCAAACAGTTTGAGTTTTTCATATAATCTTATGAATTTTATATAGACACATACACACAAATGTGCATATATAAATATATGCCAGGCTTCTCTGTCCATGGAATTCTCAAGGCAAGAATACTAGGGTGGGTAGCCATTCCTTTCTCCAGGGGATCTTCCCTATGGCCCAGAGGTTGAAACCTGGTCTCCCACATTGCAGGAAGATTCTTTACTCTCTGAGCCACCAGGGAAGCTCAGACACACACATATATTTATTTATGTACATATTATGTATAATATACTTATGTGTATTATATATATATAATGGAATACTACTCAGTCATAAAAAGTTTCATTCTGAAAAGCAACATCAATACAGCATAAAATTTTAATTTTAGTAATATTCTCATATGATATTTGAGCCTGGTGTGTGGTAATTATGCAGTTAATATTAGAAACACAAAAAAGCCCCTCATTGTGCTGTTCAGATTCACAAACTGTCCCTCTTGTTGTCAGGAAGAATAGAAATTTCTGTTCCGGAATTCTGTGGCACATCTGTCATATTCTGCCAAAGTGCCCCTCAGATTCAGAGTTATTACTCTATCCTTGCTAAAGGAATGAAGGACATAAAACACAGAGGACAGGGATGTTCTCACAACCTGCTGGTCAGGCAGTAATGTAGACAGGAAGATGGGGAGCAAGGCAGAGCATAGGCAAGGTCCAGGTTCAGAAAGCAGAGGAAGCTGAAGGATGGCGAACAGACGACTCTTAACACTGGAATGGTGCCACAGTATGCGGCACAAGGAGACCGGGATACTGGCGGGGTCGCTGTTCCATTCTCCAGGGGATCTTCCCAACACAGGGATTGAACCCAGGTATCCTGCATTGTGGGCAGATCCTTTACCAGCTGAGCCACCAGCGACCCACGAGGAAGCCACCTAACTTTAAATTGAGTAACAGTGATGCATGTGTAGGTTTTGGAACTAGGCTGTTAGCTCCAAATTCTGGCTCCTGACCCTACCACTTCCTATCATATGACCTCTGGCACGTTCGTGAGCTCTCTGCACTGTGGCTTCTCCAACTGTAAAATGGATATAGTAGAGTACCAACCTCAGAAGATTATTTTAATGATAAGAATTAAAGGGCAGGGACTTCCCTGGTGGTTCAGTGACTGAGAGTCCGCCTTCTAATGCAGAGGATGTGGGTTTGATCCCTGGTTGGGTAACTAGGATCCCACATGCCGCCGAGGAACTGAACCTATGTATTGCAACTACTGAGACAGTGCTAATACTAAAGAGAAGCCCGCAAACCACCAAGAAACATTCTACTTGCTGCAATGAAGATTCCAGGTGCTGCAACTAAGACTCAATGAAGCCAAAAATAAAAAATTAAATTAAAAGAGGACTTAAAAGGTAGAGAATATACAAGGCACTTACTATTGTGCTGGTTATAAGTATCCAATAATGATAATGATATAAATAATAGTAGTAATAATTCTGGAGTTTTTCAGTAAGAGGTTATTAGAAGTTCGACTAGATAGTTGGGAGAAAGTAAACTTTAATCATTCTGACAACAGACTTAAAAATGAACTCCAGAGATATGAAAAATTTTAATGTATAAGATTATCAGATTATTAAAAGGAAATATGGGGGACTATGTTATAATCTTGGGATTAGGGAGACTGCTAAAAATAATATAAATAGCATAAACTGTCAAGAAAACATCTAACAGATCTGATGAAACACATAAACTTCTCATAAGAAAATATGCTAAAAGCAAAGGTATAAAACAGTCCATGAAAGAATATCTGCTACCTAGAGAAGATAAAACATATGTGAATAAAAGCCCTCTAAAAAAATAAAAGTCAATAGAGAATTCCCTGTTGGTTTCACTACTGAGGACCTTTCAATCCCTGGTAGGGAACTAAGATCCCACAAGGTGTACAACGGGACTACACACACACATATATATATATATATATATATATATATATATATATACACATGTATATATATATATAAAAATCAATAAAAGATAAACTGGGAGAAAGGGAACGAATATACAATTAAAATAGAATTTAACCATCAAATACAAAAAAAGCTACTTGCCTCATGAATGCTTAAGGTACAAATTAATGCAATAAAAGCAATGTTTACTTATTAAATAAAAAACAGTAAAAGATTACTAGCACCAAGTATCAGTAACGGGTTGAAGAAATGAGCAGTAAGTAAAAACAATACAATATTTTTGGCAAGAAGTTTTTGCTGAACCTATCAATTTATAGTTTAAATGTACATATTCTATAATCTAGAAAGACAATGTAGACATCTAAAGGAAAACTACATTTACACAAAAATATAAAGACATGATCACAAAGGGCACTGCAATGTTCTGATAACAATCAAAGAGTGTGGCCATAAATGCATATCAACAGAGACATTGTTAAAAAAATGCTGCAATATAAATATAAAATATGTACTTTAAAAAAATATTTGGGTAGATCTGTAAATGTTTATTTGGAAAAATATTTATAAAACATTGTTCTGTGGGGAAAATGTATGTCACAGAAAAAGTGAACATGCATTTTTTTGTAATCAGAAAAATATGATAATTATGAAAATACCCAGCATCTATGAAAGGAACTAGTCTTATAGCAATAGCAAGGATAAATTATTCTGTAAAGCGATCGTATAGAAACTATGTCTTTTCATACTAGAATAATGAGTAGCGATAGTAATACTGGTGGATAATAATGGTGACAGCTGATATTTATTCAGCACAAGTCAACAAGGTAAGTACTATTATTTTTTTATTTTTATTAGTCAAAAATCACTTGCCAAATAACTGACTCAAAAATAACTCAGAATCAGATAGCTGGAGCATGAAAACGTCAGGCTGCAAACACATACTCTATTTCCACAGCCTAAGAGCTGAGCTAGCAGGACGAAATACCGAACGTTTTCATTGTACGTTACTAAATATATCTGTAATTATTTAATGCTTTATTTAATAATTGTGCCATGTTTTTCTCTCTCTGTAGGTTTAAATATCTTCCATGAACTGACATGAAAATTTTAGTGTAACATTAATAGCTTTAGGATATATGATTATGTTTATTTCATATATTTACTTACATTGTTAACTTAAAAACGTTTGTGAGACATGCCACGGAATAAGTTTAACATTCCCTTTCAGAAATGTATTCTCAAATGCATCTCTATTTATTATGCTTCTGAAAAACTCATCGGTATGATCTTCTTAAACAGTAATATACATTTCTTTCCATGTTGTTCTAATAAACTTAATTTACTACTTAATCACTGTACTGTTACCCTAGAAAATTGAAAGTTTAAATCAAATTTTGTATTCGGGACATAAAATTTTAAGATGTTTGACAATAAAATTAACAGTTTATATTCTAATGGCTAATAATTTAACACATTTCCTCAAAATGGTCTCAATGCATAAAAACATAAAACTTACAAATCTGAAGAAAAATCAGAATATATTCACTGAAAATTATGAATACATTTTAAAATAAATTATTGGTGAGAAAACAAGTCTATCTTATAATTCTCTAATTTTATGTCTTTTTGAAACACTTTTTAAAAAGTAATGGATGAACTTCTTATATATACTCAGAAAAAAACAAATGACTGAAAAATTGAAAAGTAACTTTAAAATAAAAACAGAACTGAAAACTCATCCTTACAAGCAAATGTCAGTATTACATAAGAATTTAGAAAACAAGTACATTATGTAATTCAATGCTACAATACTGTTGCTTTCGTGAAAGCAAAGGTCTTCAAGTGAAAACAAAAGCAATATTCAGGCTAATAAAAAGCAAATTATCCAAAGTGGAATTGGCTAAGAAACCAGACACTTTTACTATTGAAAAAGTCTCCCTACTGTTATAAACTCAGGACTTTTCTTTTAGTTTTATGATTTTAAAATTATATAACAGTTAAAAGTTTATCACACATAAGAAGTTATCATCAGTTTTTGGCTCAAATAACAAGAGGCTTCAATGAGGCATGAAATCTAAACCTAACCATCACATTCGTTTGTCACAAACTCGCCAAGACTAACCACACATGAATTGCTGAAACACAGAAAGATACATGGGCTGCTATTTCAATAAACAGAAGGCAAACTATACAGAGCCATGCACATTCAGGGAATCATTTTAAAGAAATTTCAGGGGAGCGGGGCTTTGCCTGATTGGTAGTGTTTTTTTCAAACAAAAACACAAAATATGAAACATCACGCGGTGACTCATACAGCGGCTATTTCCACCCCTATTCTATTTTCAAAATAAAATAATTCAATTTTTAAGTATACCAAATAATGCTCAGTAAAATTTTCATTTAACTGGTGAAATCTTAGATCGTGATAATAAACACTAAAGGTTAAGTTTATATTAAAGCTACTTTAAAGGAAAGTCTTAAGCTAACAGCCTGAAATCATCTTTCAGTGCAATAAATAACCCTACTGAGCATAAAACCACAGTTGAGTCTTTTTATGGTGCACATGATCAAACGAATCTTTTCGTAAAAAGAGTGA